TCTTTGATTTCTTTATTGTTTGAATTTCTGAAAACCTTTAATTTCTTTAACTCCCTCAATTTCTTGAATTTCTTTACTTTCTGTAATTTCGTTTAATTAGTCTCGCAAGCCCGAACGGCTGCCTGAATTAATTTCTTTAATTTCTTTTTTATTTCTTTAATTTCTTTAATTTCTCACAGAGAGACCCAGAAATTAAAGAAGTTAATGAAATTAATTGGGGGAGCCCACCCGGCTCACGGGACTAATTTAAACTAGAAGACGATTGGCCCGAAAGCATCGATTTGCGGTGCGTTGAGTCTATGCACTTGACTCTGTGCGCTCGAACTGTATGCACTTGGACAAGTGTATGCACTTAAGTGTATGCACTTATATGGTTGCATACTCACTTGTATACTGCACTTGTATACTGGACGTGTATGCACTCGAACTGCATGGCACTCAAGTGTGTTGAGTTGAATGCCATGCACTTGTGGTCAACTCTATACACTTCATTGGCATTCAATAGATCTGAAGTAAACGGACTTGAACTGTATGAACTTCACTTGCTGTCTGCTTGCTCTGCGAAATTGTTTAGGGAGTAAGGGGGCTTCGACAGCTTAGGGAGCTTACGGGACTTAAGGAGGCTTGGCGGGCTCAGGGGGCCTGGGGAGCTTCGGGGCCTTAGGAAGTGTAGGGGGCTTGGGAGTCTTAGAGAACTTGGGATTCTTAGAGGGCCTGGAGGCCGTAGGAGTCTTTGAGCGTTTAGGGTTTAGGGTTTAGAGTTTAGGGTTCAGGGTTTAGGGGAAATGGTTTGTTTAGAGAGGGTGTATTTACATCGTCTGCCTATGAACGTAGCAAACTCGTGACACACATTACTTGCAAAACAGCTTCTTGAAAATTAGAGCGCTAGTACCAAGCCATTGTACACACAACTATATGAAAAATCCTTCCTACATCTTGAAGGCGTCCCTTTCTTTAAGGGATGACTGGGGAAATTAAGGTAAAGAAAGGGCGATGGTTTCAGCACGAAAGTAAGGGAATAGAAAAGGGAACGCGGTACAGATACACGAAGCCTTAAAGGGATTCGAGGGGAAATTCTAGCACTACACAGGGGTTTCAAGGGAAAACTTCCCTGAAACAATCGGGGCCAAAAAAAAGCGCAACAGGGAAACGTCAGGGAAATTTTAAGTTACGCTTTGGGTGGAGGCGTTGCCTGCAGGACAGCTCATGACCGATTGCTTGTAGTCCTGAAATTCTGTTTGCTTGCTCTGCGAAATTGTTTAGGGAGTAAGGGGGCTTCGACAGCTTAGGGAGCTTACGGGACTTAAGGAGGCTTGGCGGGCTCAGGGGGCCTGGGGAGCTTCGGGGCCTTAGGAAGTGTAGGGGGCTTGGGAGTCTTAGAGAACTTGGGATTCTTAGAGGGCCTGGAGGCCGTAGGAGTCTTTGAGCGTTTAGGGTTTAGGGTTTAGAGTTTAGGGTTCAGGGTTTAGGGAAAATGGTTTGTTTAGAGAGGGTGTATTTGCATAGTCTGCCTATGAACGTAGCAAACTCGTGACACACATTACATGCAAAACAGCTTCTTGAAAATTAGAGCGCTCGTACCAAGCCATTGTACACACAACTATATGAAAAATCCTTCCTACATCTTGAAGGCGTCCCTTTCTTTAAGGGATGAATGGGGAAATTAAGGGAAAGAAAGGGTGATGGTTTCAGCGCGAAAGTAAGGGAATAGAAAAGGGAACACGATAAAGATGCACGAAGGCTTAAAGAGGCCCAGAAAATCAAGAAATTAAAGAGGATGGTTAATTGCTTGAATTTCTCTAATTTCTCACAGAGAGGCTTAGCAATTAAAAAGCCAGAGAAATTAATTAATTTCATTGCTTTCTTTAATTTCTTTTAGTTAGTCTCGCAACCCCACGCGGCTACCGGATGTTTTTTGTTAATTTCTTAAATTTCTCACAGAGAGGCCTAGAAAATAAAGAAATTACAAAAATTAATTACCCGGCTCACGGGATTAGTTTAAATAAAAGAAATTAATGAAATTGATCAAATAAAAGAAATTGATTAATGTATTAAGTTTCTTTGATTTCTCACAGATAGGCTCTGAAAGTAGAGAAACTACAGAAATTAATTTCAGAGAGGCCCAGAAATTAAAGAAATTAATGAAATTAATTAATTTCTTTAATTTCTCACATAGAGGCCCAGAAATTCGAGAAATTAAAGAAATTAACTAATTTCATTAATTTCTTTAATTTCTTTAATTTCTTTAATTTCTTTTAACTAGTCTCGCAAGCCCGAAGGGCTACCGGAATTTATTTCTTTAATTTCTTTAATTTCGCACAGAGATGCCCATAAACTAAAGAAATTAAAGAAATTAAAGAAATTAATTGGGGGAGCCCCCCCGGCTCACGGGACTAATTTAAATAAATTAAAGAAATTAATGAAATTAAAGAAATTAAGTAATTTCTTTAATTTCTTTAATTTCGCACAGAGAGGCCCAGAAATTAAAGAAATTAATGAAATTGATTGATTTCTTTAATTTCTTTAATTTCGCACAGAGAGGCCCAGAAATTAAAGAAATTAATGAAATTAATTAATTTCTTTAATTTCTTTAATTTCTCATAGAGAGGCCCAGAATTTAAAGAAATTAAAGAAATTAATTAATTTCATTAATTTCTTTAATTTCTTTAATTTCATTAATTTCTTTTAACTAGTCTCGCAAGCCCGAAGGGCTACCGGAATTAATTTCTTTAATTTCTTTAATTTCTCACAGAGAGGCCCAGAAATTAAAGAAATTAATTGGGGTAGCCCCCCCGGCTCACGGGACTAATTAAAATAAATTAAAGAAATTAATGAAATTAATGAAATTAAACAAATTAATTAATTTCTTTAATTTCTTTAATTTCGCACAGAGAGGCCCAGAAATTAAAGAAATTAATGAAATTAATGAATTTCTTTAATTTCTTTGATTTCTTTAATTTCTCACAGAGAGGCCCAGAAATTAAAGAAATTAATGAAATTCATTAATTTCTTTAATTTCTTTAATTTCTCACAGAGAGGCACAGAAATTAAAGAAATTAAAGAAATTAATTGGGGGGGGCCCCCCGGCTCACGGGACTAATTAAAATAAATTAAAGAAATTAGTGAAATTAATGAAATTAAAGAAATTAATTAATTTCTTTAATTTCTTTAATTTCGCACAGAGAGGCCCAGAAATTAAAGAAATTAATGAAATTGATTAATTTATTTAATTTCTTTAATTTCTCACAGAGAGGCCCAGAAATTAAAGAAATTAATTAATTTCATTAATTTCACTAATTTCTTTAATTTCTTTAATTTCTTTAATTTCTTTAATTTCTTTAATTTCTTCTAATTAGTCTCGCAAGCCCGAAGGGCTACCGGAATTAATTTCTTTAATTTCATTAATTTCTCACAGAGAGGCACAGAAATTAAAGAAATTAAAGAAATTAATTGGGGTAGCCCCCCCGGCTCACGGGACTAATTAAAATAAATTAAAGAAATTAATGAAATTAATGAAATTAAAGAAATTAATTAATTTCTTTAATTTCGCACAGAGAGGCCCAGAAATTAACGAAATTAATGAAATTCATTAATTTCTTTAATTTCTTTAATTTCTTTAATTTCTCACATAGAGGCCCAGAAATTAAAGAAATTAAAGAAATTAATTAATTTCATTAATTTCTTTAATTTCTTTAAATTCTTTAATTTCTTTTAATTAGTCTCGCAAGCCCGAAGGGCTACCTGAATTAATTTCTTTAATTTCTTTAATTTCTTTAATTTCTCACAGAGAGGCCCAGAAATTAAATAAATTTAATTTCCCCCCGGCTCACGGGACTAATTAAAATAAATTAAAGAAATTAATGAAATTAAAGAAATTAATTAATTTCTTTAATTTCTTTAATTTCGCACAGAGAGGCCCAGAAATTAAAGAAATTAATGAAATTAATTAATTTCTTTAATTTCTTTAATTTCTCACAGGGAGGCCCAGAAATTAAAGAAATTAATGAAATTAATTAATTTCTTTAATTTCTTTATTTTCTCACAGAGAGGCCCAGAAATTAAAGAAATTAAAGAATTTCATTAATTTCATTAATTTCTTTAATTTCTTTAATTTCATTAATTTCTTTTAATTAGTCTCGCAAGCCCGAAGGGCTACCGGAATTAATTTCTTTAATTTCTTTAATTTCTCACAGAGAGGCCCAGAAATTAAAGAAATTAAAGAAATTAATTGGGGGAGCCCCCCCGGCTCACGGGACTAATTAAAATAAATTAAAGAAATTAATGAAATTAAAGAAATTAATTAATTTCATTAATTTCTTTAATTTAGCACAGAGAGGCCCAGAAATTAAAGAAATTAATGAAATTAATTAATTTCTTTAATTTCATTTATTTCCCTAAGAGAGCCCCAGAAATTAAAGAAATTAAAGAAATTAATAGGTAAATAAATTAAATTCCTCATACAAGTGATATACGTGAAATGGACCCAAAAGGTCCCTCTCACATATATATATACACACACACATATCTCTCCACACAACTAGCTTGACCCTACGCCCTTGCCCATGGCATTTTGATTCTGGCAGCGAGCCATGTCCTGAAGTGGGCAGCACGGGCAACGCTTGTGAGGCTGACTTGATGCGCACTCTCCCTGGGACTCTTTAGGGTTTAGGGTTTAGGGTTTAGGGCTTAGGGTTTAGGGTTTAGGGTTTAGGGTTAAGGGTTTAGGGTTTAGGACCCTTCACTTGCTGGGTCTCTGGTATTTTTGAAATGCAATAAGTCGGTGAGGGTGTCGGTGTGCGGGTTTATTATCTGTCTGGTGCAGTCTTGGGGTTCTGCCATTCTCCAGTTGCTGCGACGGGTCTGGTTTCTACGAGGCGGACCGTTTCTGCAGATGCTGCCCCCATGGGTTCGGTTGCAAGATGTCGGTCTCTGGGTCGATTCCCAAACCAAGATCCCGGAGCCATGCCCGAACTTTCTCTCGAGCCTGGCAGGGTGGGGCCATGTACTTCGTGGCGGTGGCGCTGTCCTTCGCGCTCTGCGGACTGGCTGCAGTATTTGGGTTCGAAGGGGGGCCGGTTCAGAACTGGGGTGTGAGGGTGCATAGATGCAGCAAGCTTGGTCACGAGTCAAGTCTGTGGAAGTCTCAAAGATTAGCTTCAGGCTCTCAGCTATAGCAAGGTCCGACAAGGCATGGTATACTCTGGCATGCTATAATGTACTTTCATTCCTGGGGCGACCGCAGGCTTGGGAAACAAAGGCTGCCGCCTAAGTCGTTCAGCCACAACACCCCGAAACTCCAGGTACCTGCCTCTTCATGCTGTCCATCTACACGGGTGGCATGGTGGAGCAGAGCTGCTCCAGGGTATCTTTCTTCCACCACCTGGCGGGGGAATGTTGATTTTGTGGGGTGATGGGGGGAAAGTCGAAACCCTCATTCCCTTAATCCCCGCACCTCCAAGCCCCAAAATCCTCAAACTCCCGAAGCCCAACCTTTAAGCCCCCCCCCCCCTGCCCTCGAACCCGCCCCTTCCCAAAACAATCCCGCCTTACCCCAAACCTAGACCCTAAACCTAAACTGGCCCCAGTCCCGAAACACTAAACCCCAAACTGGCCCTAAACCCTAAACCCTAAACCCGAAACCCTAAAACCCTAAACCCTAAACCCGAAACCCGAAACCCGAAACCCTAAACCCTAAACCCTAAACCCTAAACCCTAAACCCTAAACCCTAAACCCTAAACCCTAAACCCTAAACCCCCAACCTGACACAAACCTGGTGAGGCCGCAGCCTGTCTGGGGCTCTGGGCGCACTGGTGCTACCAAGACGAGCTGAGCCAGGCAGCCTTTGGTGCCAACGACCAGCACCTTCGTTGCTTTAGGGCCTTTGGGGCCTTTAGGACTGAGGGTTTAGGCTTGAGGGTTGAGGGTTGAGGGTTGAGGGTTGAGGGTTGAGGGTTGAGGGTTGAGGGTTGAGTATATTTAGGGTTTATGGCCTAAGGTTGAGGGCTGAGTATTTAGGGTTTAGGGCCTAAGGTTTAGGGTTTAGGGTTTAGGGTTTAGGGTTTAGGGTTTAGGGTTTAGGGTTTAGGGGGTTTTCGAGGCTTTGGAGGATTGCCTCCCGCGGGGAGGAGATTGCGGAGGATGGGTTTGGATGGGTGTTGGGGGTTGCTTGGGTTTAGGGTTTAGGGTTTAGGGTTTAGGGTTTAGGGTTTAGGGTTTAGGGTTTGTGGGGGTCCTGGGCACAAAATCGGGTTTGGATTTCAGGGCTCAGGCTGTAGGGTTTCAGGTTTAGAGTTTAGGGTTTCAGGTTTCGGGTTCGGTAAAGTGGAACAGTCCTTGCCACTGAGGTTTCCCGTGGCCGTCCTCCTTCAGCACTTCAACCTCGGCCGAGCGCCGAGCTTTTAGGAAGGGAGCCCTAAACCCTAGACCCTAAACCCTAAACCCAAACCCTAAGCCCCAAACCCTAAGCCCCAAGCCCCAAACCCTAAACCCTAAACCCTAAACCCTAAACCTAGGCCCTAGGCCCTAGGCCCTAGACCCTAGACCCTAGATCCTAGACTCTAAACCCTACCTTAGGGAATTCGGGAGTTTGGTGGTTCTTTGTGGGGGCAAAATTCCCTACCAAAAGGCAGCAAGGAGGCATGGCTTTAGGCTACAGAAAGCACATGCACAGTGTTGAGGCTACTTTCTCTATGACGTGGTGCATGTGGCCGTGTGGGATCAGAAGTTTATGGAGTGGCCCGGCATCAGAGGGTTTAGGCTGGAATAAAGGTGGCTGCAGTGTTTGGGGGTCTCTGCTTTTTGGTAAGTTTCCGGGCTTTCGGCACCGTTTTTTGAGGGTGTCCGGTTGGTTGGGGTCATAGTCTGCTAGGGGGCGAGCTCAAGGTCTTTTTCTTTCCTTGCCATTGCACACGTAGCCATGCAATTGGGTACGAATCACAGAAGAGGCAAAACCAAGACTCCGAACTCTAAGAGGGTTTTTTGTTGCATGCTGTCGGCATCCCGGAGCAGCTTTGCAAGAGGACACGCATATACCCTAAGGTTTCCTAGAATGCGTGTACATCGAAGAACGGAAAGGATTTGGGGCTTAGGGCCTCGGAGAGGGTTTAGGGTTTAGGGTTTAGGGTTTGGGGTTTAGGGTTTAGGGTTTAGGGTTTAAGGGGCTGCAAAGGCACCACCTCATCGCCATTGCTGGCTATGCGACCAGCGAGATTGCCAATGTCTTTGGCCTGGCGAATGCGGTGAACACCTGGATTACCGAGGCGGGGGGCCGCTCCTTTCCCCTTCAAGTAAGGGAGCGCACCTTCAAATGGGAGAGTGAGGTCCTAGACTCCCCAAAAAAAGGACCCAGAAGGGACTCCGCCTGATGTACGAAAACCGCGATGTATGGAAAACGCGCCCCGAGTTCAAACGGAAGATTCCTCTGCAAGTCAGGCAAATCTCCGACCTTGCCTTTCCGCGCGTTTCCGCTTAGGGCTCTGAGAGCCCCCCAAAATCTGGTGTAGGGCTTTTGGGGAGAGTTGGGGTTTAGGGTTTAGGGTTTAGGGTTTAGGGTTTAGAATTTCGGGTTTAGGGTTCTGTCGCCCTCCCTCGCCAGACGCACCCGGAGGTTGGCTCGGTCATGTACTCTGCCTATCTCATCAAGAGGACCGATGGGCTCTACCTGGCCTTTGCCACCCAGCAGCGCTCAACACTTGGGATGTTTCCCCCCTATACTAAGGGTTTAGGGTTTAGGGTTTAGGGTTTAGGGTTTAGGGTTTAGGGTTTAGGGTTTAGGGTTTAGGGTTTAGGGTTTAGGGTTTAGGGTCTCTCTCTCTCTCTCTCTCTCTCTCTCTCTGTCTCTCTCTGTGATCAAAGCAGCTAGGGTCCTTGCCTAAAGCCCAAAAGCCCACAACCCGCTGAACCCTACCCCTCGTGGTGTCAGGCCTCAAAGTGTTTCTTGCACCCTTGTGGCTGGAAGCCGCGGGCCCTAAAGCCAAGCTCCATTTTCTGACACCCCAAACCCCACATCCAAAACTTGAGGTGCTGCTCTACACTGCCTCCAGAGCCTACTTTGCATACTGGAGCTTCTACATCCTTGGCCAGGTCTTGCAGGGGCGTTTAGGGGTCCTACTGCCTGCTCGGCGCCTGTTGAGTACCCCTAGACTTGGCCTCAGAAGCCCGCAAGCGCGAGCAGGTGTGGCAGGTGCTGCGTGATGGCCCTGGCGACTTCACGATGCCAGGATGGGCGCCCTACTGCGCCGCATCCTTGCAGATCGCCTTGCGCCTTGGCAGATACTGAGACAAGGTTTGGGCTCGGTGTCAGCCTTACATCTGAAGACCCTGTAAACTTCCTGAACGTAGCCCTCATGAACCCTAAACCCTAAACCCTAAACCCTAAACCCTAAACCCTAAACCCTAAACCCTAAACCCTAAACCCTAAACCCTAAACCCTAAACCCTAAACCCTAAGCCCTAAACCCCAAACCCTAAACCCTAAACCCTCAAACATCCCGGTGCTCTCCCTGGAAGGTTCTTGGTGAACGTCTCCTTCGTAGTCACCCATTGGCAGAAGCTCCTTCGCAGGCAATCCAAGACGGAGCTTGCCAAGGAGGAGTGAGAATACCAGCAGGACAGAAGTACCCACAACCCAACCCACAACCCAACCCAAAACCCAACCAACAACCCTGAACTCCCAAACCCTAAACCCTCAACTCCTGAACTCCTCCCCATGTCCGACATCGGTTTATTCTGGGCCTTAGAGGCCCCTGGGGGCGTTTGAGCCCGCACCCTTCGCGCGAAAGGATGCTGCGGAGACTCCGCAGACTTCTGCCGAGTTTTCTTGACCGCTGAGAGCAGCCGGACACAAAGCGCCCCCGACCAACGACCAAACCTAACCTTAAAACCGCCCTAAGTAGGCCGTCAACTCTAAACCCTAAACCCCTAAACCCCTGAACCCCTAAACCCATCCCTAAACCCCTAAACCCCTAAACCCCTAAACCCTAAACCCCCCAAACCCTAAACCCTATCAGCCCCCCAAACAGGACAGAGTACATTGGCCAGCCTCTCACTGGTCGGTTAAGCACCACAACGCCAAGCAACCAACCTTAAGGCCCTAAAAGCCCTAGAGCCCTACCCTACATCCTCGACACCCCCAAACCCCCCCAAACCCCCAAGCGCCTAAACCCTAAACCCAAAACCCAAAACCCAAAACCCAAAACCCAAAACCCAAAACCCTAAAACCCTAAACCCTAAACCCTAAACCCTAAACCCTAAACGCCCTAAACCCTAACCCTGAACCCCCCGAACCCCCAAGCAGGGCACAGCGGACGCGCTGATCGAGGATGTGCAGTCCCTTCGGCGCTCCTGGCTCAAGGGCTATAGGGTGTAGGGTCTAGAGTTGAGGGTTAGGGTTTAGGGGTTTAGGGGTTTAGGGGTTTAGGGGTTTAGGGTTTAGGGTTTAGGGTTTAGGGTTTAGGGTTTAGGGTTTAGGGTTTAGGGTTCAGGGTTTAGGGTTTAGGGTTTAGGGCTTAGGGCTCAGGGCTTAGGGCTTCGGGTGTGGGGGTTTAGGGTTGAGGGTTGAGGGTTTTTAGGGTCGAGCAGTGAGGCTGCGGGTGGATGGCTTGTGGGGTTGAGGGTTTAGGGCTTTGAGTATAGGGTTTAGGGTTTAGGGTTTAGGGTTTAGGGGTAACTCAGGGGCTGCAGTTTTTCGGATGTAAGCTGGGGGTTTCCAGAACAAAAGGCGTACCTTTTTTGGGGGTCCCTCTAAGGAGGGGTTCGATTCTATTTTGGGGTATAGAAGGGGTAAATCCTAGACCCTAGGCCCTAAACCCTAAACCCTTGTAAACCCTAAACCCTAAACCCTAAACCCTAAACCCTAAACCCGAAACCCTATTTTGGGAACTACCCTAACTCGCGCCAGGCAGCGCATGGACGTCCTCGACCAGCGCCGGGCTGCCGACGCGACGAAGGAGCGTCTTTTGGGGATGCAGGGGAACCTCAAAGCTGATGTCAGTTTAGGGTTTAGGGTTTAGGGTTTAGGGTTTAGGGTTGAGGGTTTAGGGCTGAGGGTCTGGGGTTTAGAGTTTTGGGTGCGGTGCCTCAGGGTCCACGTCATGTGGCCGCCCGTGTGCTGTCAGAGAGGCTTCAGTCCCAGCGACCAACCCCCCGCAAATTCTCAGCCTTGACACGAAACGGCTGCTGCATTTCTTTTGGGCACAAAAAAGCGTGATTATTTCCGCACTATACTCGCATCCCTCTCGCTGAATTTTTCGACCATGCCGGCGAAGGGTGCCAAGCCTCGTTGCCTCCTCATCGGCGGCCAGTTCACGGGGAATTTTTGCGCCAGGGAGCTGAAGAAGCAGTTCTATGTTACCGTGGTGGATGCCAAGGATACACCCTTAAAGCCTAAACCCTAAACCCAAAACCCTAAACCCTATATGATAAGATGGTTACTGGGACTGCCACAAGGAGTACTTCGAGTACACCCCCGGGGTGCTCCGGGCCTTCGTGAGGCCTGCGCACCTGGACTCCCTGACCTTCACCCTACAGCCCGTCTACGAGCGGAAGATGGGCGTGAAGTTCATCTGGGGTGAGGTGAAGGAGCTGGACGGCGACCGCAAGACGGCCACCATCAAGCCCATGTTCTCCAACAACATGGACGAGATCGGCTTCGACTACTGCATCATCTGCTCGGGCTGCAACTTCGGGCCCTTCAAGCCCATGGGCGAGAGCTTGTGGTTCCCCACCGTCCACGAGGCGGGCCAGGCCGTGAGTGACTGGAAGCACATCGACGAGCGCTTCCTTGAGGGCCGCCGGCGCCACGTCCTGGAGGAGTACCAGAAGCTCCAAGACCTGAACAAGAAGCTCTATCCCCCTTTGGGAATTCTTTTTTCTTATTTCTGTCTATATCAACCCCAAGAGGATATTAAAAATACTATTGTTATGAAGGTTCTAAGGGGAAGTAGAGGAAGAAGGCCACGGTCCTCATCGTGGGCGCCGGCTTCATTGGCGTGGAGTGGGCCACGGAGATCGAGCACTTCTTCCCGGATGTGAAGCTGACCATCATCGACTTCCTCCCGCGCTGCCTGGGGCCTTTGCCAGACACTCTATCCCCCTTGGAATTTTTTTCGTTTTTAAAAATTTTTCTTTATGGAAAACCCAAGAGGATATTACGCAAGGATATTATGTTTATTCAGGTTCTAGGGGGAGTATAGGACAGCGCCGCGGACTACTGCTCGGAGTACATGAACGCCTGCGGCATCAAGGAGTTCTACAGCTGCGGCTACGACCCCAAGAACGCCGACTTCTGGAAGAAGATCGAGCTCCCAAACGGTGCGGATGAAGTCTACGTTTGCATCTTGGGGTAGCCCAGTGGTACCCTTTTACCCTTTTTTTTGTGTTTCTGGGTTCCCTTCAAAAGTAACCAACCAAAAAAAGGGTGCCCTTATGAAGTAAGATGGCTACTGGGCTACCAAGGCATTGGTGTCAAGGCCTCCAACTACTTCATGCCCAAGTGCACGCTCTCCGACAAGGGCCCGGGTGGAGGTGGCTGGATCCACTTCAACAAGCACATGCAGGCGGGCATTTCCCCAAGTAAATGGGTCCCCTTAGTATATCCCCCAACAAAGCATAACAAAGCTGAAGGCTTATCAGAAAAGGGGCACCCCAAACCCAGAATTTTTCCACCCTCCCCCCCAAGGTGACGAAGAAGCCCTCCGAGGGTGGGGGCGTCTGGGCCGATGGAACCATCTACGCGGTGGGCGACTGCAACTACGGGTGCATCGGGGAGCCCGGCAAGTGGGAGATGCCGCCGGTCCCGAAGATCTCCTACCCCGGTGAGGAGCAGGCCTACCACGCCTGCCTGAGCCTTGGGGTAGGTCAAGTGGTGCCCTGTTCCCTTTTTTTGTTGGGGTTCTCGGTTCCATGACTACAAGATAGCCACCCCCCCAAAAGGGTTCCCTTCGTACGAGATCGACCTTAAGGAACGTCATGCGCATGGCCAAGAACAACAAGAACCTGGTGACGACCTGGTGGCCTTGGGGCGCCGGCATGTTCGCCACGAGCCTGGGCCCCCACGACGCCTGCTTCGTCGTCGCGGCCAACGAGAACAAGGGCTCGGGCTACATGGTGAACTGGTGGATCCCAGCTGCCCTCCAGAAGGACAGGGGGTTCACATAAAAAAAATTAAAAAGATGTCAGTTTATGTAGTATCCCCCTAGTCCTTATATAATCCTTATAAAGCCATAAACATTTAGCTGCTCGAGTTTTCTAGGGGTCCCCAGAAACCTACCCTAAAAAAGGAGATCATCGAGACCACCAAGATTGATGAGTGCCGCGATCGCTGGATCGGCATCCTGATCTGGCACTTCGTGCACCACACCCCGGTGCACCTCTTCGGCCGCGGCCCTTGGTTCGTGTAGGCGACCCTTGGGCTTGCCCCCCCCCCCCGGTTCACCCCCCGCAAGATCCCGAGAAGGCACCGCCCCGACGGCCTTCGGAAGGCTGGTGGCGTAAGACAGCAA